TTTCTTTCTCACAGTACACCACGATGAAGGTCTAATCCTAGACTGCAACTTTTGGGGACATTTAAGTTTTCCCCCCAAGATAATATATGGCTACCCCTTTTGTTCCCCGGTTACTGTGACAATGATCAGTATAACTTGCTTTGAATCTTCACAGTTTAAACAAAGAAAGTATTGAAAGGCAAATATTACTGGAGCAGACAACTTTGCGTTAATGCATCTTTTTCTTTTGTGGGAATGCAAGCCTCAGCTTCTCTAATATTTAACTAAAACAGACCCCCATTTGCTTATCTGTTTAATTACTCTGCTACCTAGGCTGGCTGTTATTTCTGCTGTTGCTGCTGCTGCTGCTATAGCCACCTTTAATTGGGAGGAATTTGCCTTGGTGTCCTGCTGGGTTAATCCTGCAAGCTTGCTACCTAGAACCTACATCCCACCCAAAATGGGCTTTTAAAAAAATAAATAATATTGCAAATTTTAGCCTAAGAGATAAATTGTTAGAGTACGATTTAATTTTAGCTTCTACCACAAGAAAATTTTATCACATTACTTTTAAGTGAACTGAGGCTTGATCATTGATTTCATTAAAAAAAAGACTTTGGTTCTGCTTAATGATACTTAAAAACTTTTGTATAAATTACTTTTTTTTAACTCATCAAGACAATTTAATATTACAGAGTAGTAGTTATTATTCCTTCCATTTAACTATTTCAGTTTATAAATACCTCATTAATTATTAAAGAACTGTAAAGTATTGTATGGTTAGATTCCTTTCCAGCTCTAACAAAGACTTGAAATCAAATCCTCTTTTCAAATATTTTTATGGTTTATGCTTCACTTTTTTCTTTACAGTAATTGCTATAGATCTGAGTAGTGAATATAGCATTTGTGCAACTTCCTCTAAAATTTGATCAATCCAGCCGTTCTTCAGTTTTATGTTTCACAGAAATTGCACATTAGCCATGATAGCAAGGCACCTTCAATAACTATACTGATAATTTCTTTTCTGTGGCCCCTTTTGTGACAGTCTTCTGGACAGTGATTTGCTTAGTCTGATGAAATAGAACTTCAGATAAGAGGCAAAGCAAATTGTCTAATAGTGTATGAGCTAAGAGCTGCTTGTATTAAACAGATGAAATAGGACTAATTTTGTATTTAAACAAGCGAATTATATACTGTGAGTCTAAATCCTGAGTGAAAGTCATTTCTATACCACAGAGATGCACAGGGAACTCTGCTGGCATTGGAGATAGAGCTTTGGTAGCACCACTTCTGTGAATTACGTTAAACTAGTTGGGACAGGATGAAAGAATGCAAGGTATAAACCCCTCAAGGACCTGTGAATCACCATCTAGAAAGGTTCTTGAAAGGGTAAGAACATTTTATAGTTTGATCAATAGGAGCCTGAGAAGTAGGCTGCGGGGCAAAGACATGTTGATGATTAAAAACTTTTGGAAACTTGAAGAATTGAATTACTATCCTAAGAAAGTTGGAGAGAGGGAGAGGGGGGGGAGAGAGAGAGAGAGAGAGAGAGAGAGAGAGAGAGAGAGTGAGTGTGTGGGCGGGGAATAGACTGACTCAGGCTTTTTCATCAAATCTGAATTACCCTTTTCTTCTAGGTCATATTCATCCAAAGAAGCAATGGTGATGATCAGCTTTTATTATCTCAGACCTAATTGTGACCTGTGGCACTCACAGAGTTTTCTAGAGATCCAAGTGCCTGCCATCATAGCTTTGGGTGGATAGGAAATAAAGGGTGGGAGTGCAGACTTCAAAAGTCGGTCAACTTTTCCTGAGAACACCTCATAAAAAGAAATTCTTGTTCCACTTTTATAGCAGAATGAACTTTTATTTTGAAATATATATATGAAATTATAGTCGAGTGTTTCTCTCCATTATTACATTAGTATTAATTAAACAAACCATTGCATTAATTGGTGATGGGAATTAAAATTATGTTTATAAAGGAGATGATCAGGCCGAGGATTTAGCTCAGCGGTTCGGTGGCCTGCCTTGCAAGCGCAAGGACCCGAGTTCAATCCCCGGTACCCAAAATAAATAAATAAATAAATAAAAAATAAAGGAGATGATCCCAGTGGAAAGGGCTTAGTGCTGGATGCAACTCCGTCTCCGAGGGCTCATGTCCTTGACTTTTCCCTTACCATCACTTCTCCGCCCACGTCTATCTCCTCCTCAGTCAGAGGCAGACCGCTTCCACGGACTGGGTACCAGCAGTGAGCACACTGATCTGCTCTTGCTGAGAACACCACAGAAGGAGCTGCTCTTCAAAGTTTGAGTGCTTGTGTAGCCATTTCTCATATGACGCTTTATATTTAGAACCTGCTCCAAGTTCAGAAATTCTTACCCACGTTCTTTTTTTATATATATATAATTTTGAACTTGCAGCAGTGGCCATGTCATTAAACTGGATGGTCTCCTTTACAAACACAATTTTAATTTGCACAACCAATTAATGCAATGGCTTATTTAATACTAAAGTAATATAATGGAGAGAAACACTCAACTATAATTTCATATATATTTCAAAGCAAAAGTTCATTCTGCTGTAAAAATGGAACAAGAATTTCTTTTTATGAGGTGTTCTCAGGAAAAGTTGATCTACTTTTGTAGTCTGTACTCCTACCCTTTATTTCCTATCTACCCAAAGCTAGGATGGCAGGTGCTTGGATCTCTAGAAAACTCTGAGTGCCACAGGTCACAATTAGGTCATCACAGGTCATCATTAGGTTGATAAGACACTAAGTGGAGAAAGAAAGCAGGAGATAGTGAGAAGGGGGAGGGATGAAGGAGGAGGAGCTGAATAAGTTACTCAACCCAGTCTAATTTGTTCTTCACCTTGTGCTAGTCCCAGGCATGCCTCACTTGAGCCTCATGTGCCCCTGGATTCTGTGACTGATCCTCATTTTCGTAGCTTGCCATCAGCACCTACAGAATGATTTATGAAGAGTCTGTAAAGGAGAGTCTTCTGTTCTGTGTCTCATTCTCTGGTGAAAGGATGTGAGTGTCTGCGTTTAGCAAGATGCATACCTTAAATATCATCATTTTCTTGCCCCGAGGCACATACAGAGGCTTCTCACAAGGCCTGATTCGACAAACTACTACCACATGAAGCAGTCATAGGTTTTATGCCACAAATAACACATTTAAAGCATGTTGTAAAAGACACACTTCACAGGGACATCGAAACACTGCTATATAAAGAATCAGGAAAAAACAAGATATTTTTGAATGGAAATGAAAGTGCACATTTGTTTATTGGCACTAAAACCAATAGATCTGAGAATTCTCCCTTTTTAGAAATTATCTAGAGGTCTTCCCAAATTTTAAGTCACCATTTTATAGGTCACCTTGAAATATCAAAGTTTTCCTTAGTGTTCTTGGATGGAAAGCTTAAACTGCTCTCCTGTTGATGCTCCCTACAATTTATAATTCCCAGATTGGTCTTGAACCCACCAGGAGGAAAATAAAGGTTAGGGCTATCCTGGAATATGTGTGTGTTTTGGGGAAAACCAGTAAAACAGGTATCCTAGCTGCCCTGTTAAAGCTCAAGTTCACTTCACTTGGGTTCTGAGTTGGTGCCAGCCAAAGTGTACTTTTATAGATGCTTCCCAGCCAGCCTTCTTAGGCAGTCTTTCTTCTAAGACATTGTATAGTTCTGATGAGAAAAAGAAGAAGTGAAGTAATTTCTTGTCCAGGAATACTGAATGGTAAAAGCCAACTTCAGGACTAACAAAGATGCCTTCACATAAGGCAGACAGTTTTCTGTGAAAACCTGGTGTATTGGGGTTTGAAATTAATAAAGGGATAAGGATTCAGCTTTTCTCCTGAGAAATAAGTTTTTTAGTCATGGATCTTTCATTTCCATGAATTGGAGTAATTCTGTAAAGGGCAGGGGAAGACAGCTGACACCCACCTGTTCCATGCCCCAGTCAGTCTTCTCTGTGAAGCAGTAAGTGGCAGCTAGTCAGGTGTCTGGTAGTTTTCCTTGTGAACTCTGGCCAGCCACAGGGCTCCTTACAGTCTTCTAAAGAAACATCCTGCACAGAGGTCTCATTTAGGTCTTCATTACTAAACTAGCATCTCTCTCAGGGGCATCTCTCCTCAAAGATCCTTCTTTAGAATGTTACTCTGGGTGGGAGAAATACAGGTGTGGGCCCCTTGCAGTACAGGGTCTCCGCTCTGTATAGAGAAGCTGTAACATACATGCCTAGGTGCTTCTACAGGTGGGGTAATAAAGCAGAAACACTGCCCATCATTTTCCATCTGCAACTTGTGTGCCTGCTCTCTGAATGACCCTTTGCCTTCTGACCAGATTGTTCCCCTGGAGATCCCAGGGCCCCTTATAACTGTTAATCAAATGCAGAACTAAAACAGTGAAAGGATGTTGCTCCTGTTTATTGAGAGGTAAAATAAGGATGACAAGAAAGTCAGTATTATAATCAAATGCTGAGTTATATTTTGAAAAAAAAATTCCATGTAATAAATTAAATTGTATTTTCCCCAGAATTAAAAATAAGAATTATAGCTGCTTAATGGAAAAAGATCATATGAAATGCTGTGCTGTGTTCAATTTGCAGTTCTAGTTAATGTGTTGCCTGTGTGATTTAGTGCATTTAGATTCTTAAAACGTGTGTTGAAAGAGGGTTTGTACCTACCTATCATGCATTTAAATTTAGTGCAAGCTCTTGTTTTAAGCAGTTTTATATGGTTAAGTTGACATTGCTTAATAAACAACTGAAAAAGTTAAGCATAACCTAGAAGTCATTTAAAAGTATGAGTCACTTTCATGACAAGCCAATAAGGTAAGAGAACCCAGGTTGCAAAACAATTACTAGCCCAGCCAAGGGACCCTGGTAATATATTATGGGTATCAGTTAAGGAAACAAAGCAGTAGTGTTTTGCCACGCTGCAGAGAGCAAGCTAAGTTTTCTAACCAGACCAAATAACTGCACTGACAATGCCAATTTTTACATTTGTTTCAGAACAAGGGCCGCTCAAGCCACCAGAGGTAAGTCTAATATTTAAAAGAATTTTGTTTAACTTTGCCTTGCTAACTTAAGTAGTCTTGCACTTCTACAATGTTAAATATGCCTTTTAGAATGAACAGAGAAAAATAGAAATGGAGGGGGCAGCCAGGTGCTTGTGAATGAAAGGAATGGGAAAATAGGAGGACCTTGCAGTCACTGTGTGGAACTCAGACTGCAGCGAAGCAGGAATACGTAGTCTAACGCTGTGTGTGTGTGCAGCAGGACAATTTCTTCAGAGGGATGGCAAGCTCTTATCCCAGGAAATTTATATGCGTATCTCCTGTCATGAAATGTGCTGGTGCCCAGCATTTTCCGGTACTGAAAATTCTAACATTGTTTATCCAAGAATATCATTTCGTATGTCTAGTCGTTGTCCATTTCGAGCACAAATATGATTAGTGCTATGGCCTATTGACCCAGTCACGATCTGATAACATGCTGATTTGGTTTAACAGTGTAACTCTAATGTCTTAGAAATATGTGATCACTTAGCTCCCACAATAAATTTAGTTTAAAAATGCAAAAGAATGAAAAACATGGCCGTTTCCAGGTCAACATTGCCTTCAGTGAAAATTGACAAACGTTTCCCTGTACCCTGCAAAATTACCAAAACAAAACCTTTAAAAATAATACCCTAGCAGAGAAGAATAAAATGTAAAGAGTATGTTTCATTACATGGACCAAAAACAAACAAACAAAAAAACCAAAATAGTAATCGGAGAATTTCAGAACAAAAGAACGACAAGATTCTTTATCAAATTATTTTAACATGTAATAATTATCTGTCTTTAAAAGTGCTATCAATTCCCAGCACCAAACCAAACAAAACAAGAAAAACAAAAACAATTTTTAAATGAGCTAGCATTTATATAGTTGATTAAAACAATGAAACATGCAGCAAGGTATCATAGGAAACACTTGTTTCTACTTTTTTTGCATAAGCACATAGTTTGTACAAGTAGGGCGTTAAGCGTGTAGTATGACGAAGCTCACGTTCTGCAGCTGTTCCATGTCTCTAGAATCTTTAGATCTAATGTGGAGTGTGCCTTAGAATCTAGGGGCTGGTTCAGGGATTGCCTATTCTTTTTTCCTTTTAAGCCACATAAGCACTTTTAGGCTAAAATAAGTTAAGCTAAAACCTCTCCTAGCGTTTCCCAGACAGGTAAAATTTTTCCTGAGGGCTGTCTTTTTCTTCCCGCGGAGCCATGGCTTTGGCAGGGCTGCCTGGCTTCACTTACATTCTCACACTGTTCCTAGATTATGGAGACAGAGTCCTTGTGCAGCTCTGAACTTTTAATTCAGAGTTACTTGACATTTATCCTGTTAGATATATGCATGACTTTTTCTGGGAGTGATGGGTTCATTTTATTTTAATTAAGGTGATGTGAAGTGGGTGTATTTACAGAAAGGAAATGTGCTAAAGAAAGTTTAATAATTTTCACATGATATTAAATAATTCTCTCAGGCTCTTTTATACTTTAAAAATTACACATAAGCTTATCAATTAAAAGAATTAATTTTCACTTTGATTTTTTTAAATATCAACTTTTTAGTGGTTTGCTTAGATTTTGAATATAATAAGTGTTATTTTATTCAATTAATGCATGACTGCACTGATAATCTTTACTTTAGATGGAGAATTATGGTAAAATCTTATGCTGACCAATTTACTTAGAAATTTTAGTTGATTTAAGGAAGAAGTATAGCAAAGAACATTAAGAAGAGTTTTTTCACCCTATACCAATAGTGTGTTTGCTGTCAGGAGTGTCTTCTCCCAGGTAAACGATGAGGCCCTTTTTGTGAGCTCTGTGATTTTAATTTCCTCCCTCAATTCAAGGACAATTTTCTCTCCTTGTTCTGCTTTAGAATTCTCCTCTCTTTCCCTTTTAATGGCTATGATTGTGAATTTTCAATGATAGACTTCATTCTCAGGGTATAGGTGAGTTTTCGATAGCCATGGATCTATCCTCACATCCAGCCTCCAGTGGACCTTCAGAACCTCTCTGACTCCAACAAGAAAGTTTAGCATTGCATATCTATTCAGCAACTTTAAATCTATTCCTTAAAATAGGTCAAAACAGAACAACCGAAGTTTGCTTCCTTTCAGCAAATGAAGCTTTGCTTGTTTTGTTGGTAAAATCAACAAAGAGATTTTTTTATTTCCAAAAGATCTAAGAAGACAGATGCTTGGATAATGAAAGCACTTTTAGAATACAAAGACAAGGTAACAGGTAATGAAGCAAGAAATAATTACCAAGTGCTTATAAAATTCCCTTTTGTCCCCCCACCCTTCTAAGTAGATAAAAGCAGGTTGCAAATGCTCTGAAGACTGATTCTCATGATCTACGGGACCGTAACTGAGAGCTCCCACGGGTGGCTACTAGAAATATCCTTCTCACCTTTCCTCCTTCTGCTTGCTGGCTGAGCGCAAGGGCCTTTCTGGTTTATCCTAGGATTTTGAGAATACAAATCAGGAAGGGACAGGGATCACAGAATGACAATTGAGTTTTTGCGTTTTAAAGTTGTTCAAATATATTCCATATTTTTTACAATATATTTTTATATTATAAATTATTTAAAAATTCTCAAATGCTCCAAATGTACTTGGTCTAAATAGCTGAAATTTCCTCTTGTTTAAAATTTTTTTCTTCTTTAATACATAGTTCATTCCACTGCTAGCCTTTCCTGTAAAATGTTTGTTTTCAGAGTGCCTGATATTCATTTGACTTGTCAGGACAAAAATCCTAAAACATAAACAGTACAGCACATACCTGCAGTCCCAGATATTCTGCTGGTTCGGGCAGGCCTTTCCCTTGAGTCCAGGAGTTTGAGCCCACGCTGAGTAACATATCTGTCTCCAAAGTGGGGAAAAAAGAATAAAGGAGTTAGTGGTAAGATTTATCCTTTGTGTGAATTTAAACATTCAAAATTCCACAAAATTAATAATAGTAATAATACACTGTCACTTAATCTGTGCAACGTGGCAAGAACTGTTTCAAGCCCTTCACATAAATTAGCTCATTTAATTCTCCCCATCAGTCTTATGAAGTGGTGCTTTTATATCCCCTTTTTATAGATGAGGAAACTGAGGCACAGAGTTATATTTTCCTGCTGACAATATTGTCGATAGTGTAGTTCCTTTATATAAAGAGCTCCAAAATATTTTATGCAATTTCAGGGAGTTTTGGGTTTTTTTTAAGTTTTTTTTCATGTTATCAGATACCAGTCTGTATCCTGCTTCTTCTTTCTGTGTCCTGGCCACCAAGAAGCCCAGAGTAACATTTTCCTCTGTCCACTATCTTTATTGTAGTTTTTCCAAATATAATTATCCATCTTGCCCAACAGAGTTTCAAATGCTTATTTTAATTATCTGATTAGTCTTTTACAAATCCATTTTGAAAGAAGTTGGAGTAAAGGTAAAAATTACATATTTTAAGTTTTGCTTGTTTTCTTTCACCTGAGAAACCAAGAATCTGCTGGGTATGGCTCTGAGTGAAGCTCTTTGGAAAACTAAAGACTTTGTTTCAGACATTTAACTTTTTTTTCCATTAATTTTATTGGTACATTTTAGGTATACGTATACATTCATTATTGGGAATTTGTACCTTTACATGATATATCTTGGTTCTTATTTTTTCCCCATTCCCTTACCCTCCCTTATTTACACAGACTTTGTTTCCATTTTTTCCTTTTCTCATATTTATACCTTTCCCTCCTTTCCTTTCCCCAATCCCTCCCACTTCCCCTTCCCTTTCCCCTTCAGACCTTTTTTCTCTATTTCACATTATTATACATTTTGATCCTCATTTACACTTTCAGTTTCTCCTACCACAGAAACTATTCAGTGTTTACACGTGTGTCCTATTTATTTCACTTAAGAGTATGGCCTCAGTGTGCATCCATTTATCTATAAATGTCTCTAGCTTCTTATTCATTATGGCTGAGTAGTACTCCATTTTATAAAATAAACCATATTTTCTTTATCTAGTCACCAGTTGATGGGTGTTTGGGCTGTTCAGACATTTAACTTGTGAATGAAAACAACATCAGGAGGAATCATAAGAAAAATCCATGGCGAATGTGTGCTTAGCCAACCAAATGTGCTCTGAATGTCTTCACATGTAGCACAAACCCAACACACATTCAAAGACAATTGCTTTTGTAAAAATCTGAGTTATATAGTAGCCATAGACTCAACTTCTTATCCAGCTGTATAGTAAAACATTAAAAGTCAGGTCCTTTCTTAGTGGATTACTGTAGTCAGTAGGTGGCAGTGAGTTTATTGCTTGTGAAATCAAATGTGTAACCATGCATTTTCTATACTTTTTGTAATGCATAGTGTATCCTAAGGAATCATTTTCTAAAACAATTCACTTTCATGCCTTGTCACCCCTACCTGCATCTCAGTTTGGGTTTTTTTTTTAATGGTATTCAGACACAGTGTAATTAAGACACCATTTTTATTTAGGTGTTGGCTTAGATCAGAGCTTTAGATCTTTGTTTTGAGGTTGTTTACCTTCTTCAGCCTGTAGTTGTCAGGCCCCAAACAGAGTTGAATGAGAAATTTCTTAGGCCAGTTTAAGCTATTGCTAATGTCTTTGCTGGAAATATTTTCCTAGCAAGAATGACTGCCTGGGCTTTGCTCTCCTCTTTGCTGTAGTGACTATGACTTAAAAAACAAACAAACAGCCCCTCCCCACAAAGAACTGGGATACAGTATCTGGAGTTAACAAAAATATTTCTTTTTCTTAGTGTTATATCAGTAGCTTATTAAATATGATGATATTCAAGTGGAAGACCTATTTTAAAATGTTAAATTATAAAAGCAAACTTTAAAACCATGTTTTGTTCAAATTTGGTCGTGCTTTTAATTGGAAAAAAAATCCAGCATTCATTGACCTTTCCAAAGTGTAACAGTTAATGTAATTTCATAAAGCTGAACAACCAAAACATTTTTGTTTTGCTTTGTTTTATCTTTCTGCACAGAAACGAACCAATGGACTCCGAAGAACTCCCAGACCTGTGGATCCAGGTGTGTTTATAAGTATACATTCTAGAATGACTGCAGTTAAGTGATTATGAAAGTTTATGGGAATTGCTGTAGAAAGTTAGGCGTGTTGTTCGCTTTTGTTTTTCATCGTCTGGTTCTGTGTGACCAGGAGGTGAAGGTCTAAACCGTAAATCATTCACATGGTGAGTAACCCCCAGTACCCCATTTTCAACAGTAGAGCTGGTTATTCACTTACTGAACAGCCTCAGGGTGCCTCGTTAATGCTAGCATTTTAAGCAATCGTCTACTTCCCCCTGAATCTGGTAAGAAAACTAAGCAGCAAAGTGATACTTCAAAATCAACATTTTTCTAAGGGATTAGGAAAGAGCATGCAACTGGTAACCTCCACATATGGGAAAGTTACTTTATCCTGTATACAATTTTATAACAGAATCACGGTTTTAAGGACTTTGTAAACGAGTGTCCTTTCTGGAGACCAATGATTTATCTACAGACAATATTCGGTTATGTTCTATTTAACTTGTGAGGTTTACCCTGTCATTATGTTAGTATAATTATGTTTTTCTTCCATTAAGCAGTGCTTTCCACAGTTAAATTGCAAAATATTTTGCTTTGTACATGATTCCTATTATAGGTAAGAGATATTCTCAACTGAGAGATTTAAAAGATGATCTTGACAGTAAATCAAGTGGAGCATGAAATATAGAATAGCCTTGCTGAAAAATAATCTGGATTATGTGTTTTGTTTTGTTATGTAAGCAGTGTTCGCCTAGTTGTAGTTTAGTTTTCAAAGTCTTTTAACTTTCAACTGAAACCGCACCCATGGTAGTCCTGCCAGTTTATGAGCTGTCTGAGATTTATAGGAGCTTTGTGCCTTTGGCTAGAAATTGCCTCACTTGTATCCTGAGATCAGTTTAAATCTTTTAACTACAGAACAAAAAAATTGAGGTCATTAAAAAATAGGATCCTGGTTTGTTTTTTAATAGTTTTTGTGTTCCCAAGACAAAACCCTTTGCAGAGGATTCTGAGGTAATATTTAGAAGGGACTTCTTTTATTCTACTTGGTAGGAGTGTATGGCTGTGAACATAGTATTTTTTTCTTATTTTGTGTAAGTTGTATTTCTATTTCAGAAAATTTTCTAGCTTTTGTAAATGTTATTTTAAATGCTTTATTTCTTCTATGGGCATTTTTTATTTAGACCATTCTCCTCCATGGAAATGGATTTCTGTATTTATAGTGTATCAGTAGTCGCACATTTAGCTCTTAACAATTTATAGCAAACATTTTTAGAGTCTCTTAGATTATTTAAAGGAAAATATAGTCAGCTCACAGATTATAAATATAGCCAAGTAGACCATTAATTAAATAAATTTATATTTATTTTTCCTAAAGGTGATGGTTCTGTGACTCTTCAGCAGTTTGTTCAAAAGAATTTAGAACTTCATGAAACATAACCTTACAAAGGCAAAAGAAGTGCTGCTATATGTTATGTTTATAAAAATGTATAGAATAGTTTCCCATTTGATATAATTAATTTATATAAATGTATTTCTCGTTTTTCCAAATTTAAAAAATAGATGTTCTGGCTTTTGAAGCTACTGATGAGGTAACAGCCCTTTGTGCCTGTAGCCATCTTTGGATTACACTTGAATTATATGGGATTATATCTCCATGGCTGGCACACTGACTGTTTTCTAGGGCGTCACTAGATTGGCTGATAGGAAAAAAATATGATTAAGCCAGGTGTAGCTGCTCCATCAGGCTCAAATTTCAGAGCCCTGTGTAAATGTAAATTGTATACCTTTTCCATACGTGTTTCATATTGGAAAAGAACTTATGTATCATTTTGTGGAGTTGTAGGTGCTTAATAGATGCTTGTTAATGAATTAATAACTCTATACTTTTTCTGAAGGCATTGGGCCTTTTGCTTTTTCACTTCTTCTTGTAGATGTATTATTAATGCATCATTCCTTCATCTAGTGGTAGGAAGTATGGTTCCGAGTACATGGCATTGGCCGGAAAGTGAACTTATCTTTTTACTCTTTCAAAGACATTCAACAATTTTTCCTGTCTTTGTTTTGCATTGTCTTTGTCTGTAAAAGGAAACTGATATACCACCTTTAAAAAGCTGATATAAGCATTACAGGATTTAACACATGTAAAGTACCTTTGATAGTGCCCACTGTGGAGTAAATGCTAAGTGGTAGCTGCTGTTATACTAATTAGTTTGTTTTAAAGCATATTATTTACTGTTGGAAATTTGTCATATGGAGAATCGGTCATACTTGCCAATTATTTCCTTGCAGATAGAACCTGAATTTTATGTTGAATTTCTACCAAAGTAAGAAGTTACATAATCATAGCCATTCTCCGATTTGACATTATTCATTACCTAATGGCTTTCATGGTCCTTTGCTTGTTTTTAGCAATAGATACAATCAACAGTGATGGTTGAGAGTTTTTGTTAAAATTATCAGTGTTAGTGATTATGATGAAGAAACAAAGAAAAACTCCTGAGGTTGAAACTGTATATTGTGGAGTTCTCTTTTAATCCAAAAGAACCATAGGTTTGCTTTGTGGGTTATTGTCATATTTAAACATTAACTGTGTTAATAATTGTGATTAATTTGTATAACAGTATTTTCAAGTGACTTTGCACTTTATTTTATATATAAAATATTATATTTATATTCATATATTACATATTATATTATATGCTATTAAATTTATCAACTTAAAATCTTGACTGCTTTTATAAAAATAGTAATATGTTAGATGCAAATTCTGGTAGCTCTTGAGTTACTTAAATATAGCGGGGTATTTTCATCAGTTTATGCATTTCTTCCTGAGGCAGATGTTAGTATCAGGAAAACAACACTTGTAACAGACAGATCAATTATTTCAGGAACACGGAGGTGCTAGGCCTTTTTCAAGAACATGAGATCATAAATCTCAAGAAAATCTGAGAACTGATGTAATATTTTTCACCTAAAGTGGCACTCAAGGTCAGAGTTACCAATTAAATTTTAATACTGAGCTTTAAAAATTTCCTTCTAGCTAAGCATAGAAGATACAAGATTTATTTCGGTTTGCAAGAGGTGAATCTGTATGCCAGGGCATGTACTCTTTCCACGGAGTTCATGTTTTTAGATTATCACACAATTGTCTTATATCAGTAGAACTCATAGCATTCTGTATCTAAGTCCACAGTCATTAGCTTGTAAAAAATTCAAGCCATTGTTCTCTATTAAGCCATTTTTCTGCCTAAGATTAGATGGAGTGGATGGGGCATGTGTAGGCATGTGTAACTCCCTTTCTGAGTTTAAGGTACTCATGTGATTTGTGATAACCTTGAATAGTAAATGTATAGATAATGGTAAAATTGATGATCCTTTCAGAAACTTCTGGCTGTTCCTGTGCTCATTGTTAAACTCTTGATTACACAAAGATGCCTGTGTTTAGAAATTCTGTGTTTTTCTTACCCAGGAGATACCTTACCCATTCCTTAGCAGACAACATCTTCAAAGATGGTCATTTTCTCTGTTTTGCACAGGATTGATATATATATAGTCTTGTATGACGAAAATAATTCAAGTAATCTTTCTTTCACTATCAACTCTGTGTCTCACATGACATTAAGCATGGCAGTGTTATTAATTATGAAACATATACTCTCACCACAAATATGTTTTTGTGGCAAGAACACACACACACACACACACACACACACACACACACACACACACACATTTTCTATCCAGGAAAGGAATAGATACAGGCACAAAGTTTTGATTGCATAAATATAAATATAAAAGTTTTAGTATCATATCCTATCTTATATATGGATCTATAATGGAATGGTATGGTGTCTTAACAATGAATAGTCTTATAAGCATAAAAATTCTACAGTTACATAGTACATGCAAAAAAGCAAAATGAATTGGACAATATAAGCAAATTACTTTTAAAATGGTTTATGCATTGATGTTTACATTTACATAAATAAATTTTTGTGCTGGTTTATTATATTGAATTATAATTTAATTTGACTCCCTTTGGTGTTTTAATTTCAAGGGATTGTTTAGTGTCAAATTCAAACAGAATTTTTATGTTTTTTTTAGATTTACTTTAAACATATTATCAATTTACTCAATAGAGAAAATTTGTATTTTACTTTTCAAATAGTATACATTGATGAGAAAAATAGCAACCAAGTGTTTTTAAATGACTGATCTAAAAATATACTTTCATTTTTTAAGAGAAAAATATACATTATTGAAGGTTTTAGTAAATGAGCTTTTGTCTATGATAAGTAGCAGTTTCCATAAATTGTAATGTCTCTATATTAATCATTAAAATCTACTTCTATCTCTTCTGTCACCTCCAAAACTAATTTATCATCAAATATAGATCCTAATCTAAATATTAGTCGCATAACTGTAAATTGTAAAAATATATTTCACATTGAAAGAAATGAACTTGAAAAAACTGGGACAGTAGAACCCAGTGATTAAGATTCATTGCAGGAAAATGAGAAATACAAGCTGTGAACGAATGCTGGAGAGCATGCTCCGGTTTTTAAAATAGCTGATTTTTCCCTAGCTTCTATTAAACTATGAACAATAAGACTAGTTTTGCACTAAGGCAGTTGATCCCCTTGTAGTTATTTTCAGGAGTACCTTTCTAATTTCCTTTACCATGATAACAGATTTCAGGGTAACATCACAGTCCCTGGCTGTGTCTTTTTTGGTTTGAAGATTTATTTCTCCCTTTCAGTTCACAAAGGATTACTGTAGTTGCCTGGCAGGCCTGTACATACCTTGCCAAGCCAGTTTTTATGGTGCTCAGGTATCTCCAGAATAGCAACAAAGAAGAGTATTCCAAGATGTGCCTGGGGGGGTCCTTTTAGATGGCAAACATAGCATTAGTGTGTGTGTGTGTGTGTGTGTGTGTGTGTGTGTGTGTGTGTGTGTGTGTGTGTAGTGTACTGGAGATTGAACCCAGGGCCTTAACACTGAGC